AATTCCGGCAAATCTGTGTTTCGGCCATGGGACGAAAGGTTTAACAGGTAAGAAGCAGATGCGATGCTGTGCGATGTTTTGTTGTAAATATGCAGTCATTCTTTTCGCTATGAGGACGTCGTAAAGTTTTAGATCGAGGTTGCTCAGTCCGTAGAGTGCTGGACTCTCAAAATCCAATGGTCCCGAATTGAAGCTTTGTCGGGTTACTCTCCTTTCTTCCATCCGATGTGGATAAATAAATTCCATTGTGGAAAGGAAACAAAAACACTGCAACTATGCTTGTCATATACCTACTGTCGATTCTGCCCTTAAAACTAACACTCCTGGCTGTTGGTATAAAAATGGGAATCAGCGTCCCGCCATTAAATTCATGAGAAGAAGACTGCCAGAAATGGCATAGTCACGAAAATGTAAGGGTTACCAACCTTCCGACTGTTGCAGGCTTATGTTTCCGTAAAGTTTTATGAAATCCCAAGTTCCAGACTTGTATGGTTCCTATCGGAGCATTAGGTGCGATGACGAAGGCTCAAATATGAGATGTGGAATAGAGCTCTGCATCGATTGATACCTCGACTGAGAAAACCTGGTGTTCTCCAAGTCATTAGAAACATTTCTTTGAAACCGTTCAGCACACTCACGTTCTTCCACGTTCAAAATGACAATTTCTTTCTTAATCTCCAACGCAGTAAATAACACGTAACTCCTTTGAGATCAGATTTCACGGTGTACTGTAATGCTTCCTCGCTCTTAATTGCCTATGGAGGGAATCATTGTAGCCGCGGCTACAGATTTCACATTATTTCGTCCGTAAGAGCCACCTCAGGTTTATGACGAACGATGTTTCAGGAGCTGGTACTCAGCATGCCTCCACCATAAGTATCATTAATTGTTCGTGTGCATGAGTATGCCAAATAACGAATGACTCCTCCACGCCTAGATTTCATGATGTTTGCACTCCCACCTTGTTTCTATTTGTTTGTGGGGAGCTCAGAGATGGGAAGGGGACATTTAAGCAGGTCACGACTGTATAATATGATTATGCAACAACATATTGGGAGTACTAGCACCTGAAACATCGTCATTGATGCCTCTAGCGAACAAAATAATGCGAGATTCATCTGGCACTATAAGTGCTAAAATGCGTGCTAAAATGCCCTAGAGCCGTGACATACGTAAACGCCCCCTCCCGTCTCAAGCAACTAGGAGTAAGGCGCAATGCAACGCGCCGTGAAATCTGACCATGAAGGAGTTGTGTTTTCT